GAAATCAAAGCTCCATGAAATTAACGCGAATCGTTAAAATTCGCGTTAATTTAAGTCGCGTTAATTTTGTTGAGCGTTAATTTCCGCGACGTTAATTAACTGCAGGGTTAATTTCCGCGCTCTTAATTTCCAGTATTTTAACCCAAATTTTGGAACTTGTCCAGACATTCTTGACACCTAAAAAACATTAACTACAAGCTTTCTTTCTTTCCATTTACCCCTTGTTTTTCATCTTTCACGAAAGCTAAGGCGAAGGTTTACAATATTTCGAGTTCATCTTCATCGTTGTCGCTGTCAGAAGTGATGTGTACACAGTTTTGTTGAGTTTTGAATTTTTTTGCATCCAGTGTTGAAATAAATTTGTTCCAGTTGTCACCACTAACTGTGTCTTAATCGCGTTAATTTCCTTTATTATGAAATTCTACTTCCTCTTTCGCGTTAATTTTCTTTACTGGAAAGTCGTTTGCCATTAAATTCGCGTTAATTTAAGTCGCGTTAATTTCCAATACCTTAATTTCATGGAGCGTTAATTTCCTATAATAAGGTAGTTTGAATGTTACGCAACAATGCCGATGCTCGCCGATGCTCATATTTTGAGCTTGGGCTACCCGTGATGTTACGCAACAATGCCGATGTTAGTTCATATTTCGAGCTTGGGCTGCCTGTGGTTTGAACAGAGCTACTTTAAGACAACGTGTATTGTTTTTTATAACAATATTTCGGGTAAGTACTTCATGTCAAGCCATCATATAGTTGTCTATACAAATTGCTTCCATCCTTGCTTGTGATGCTTTGCTTACTTGAGATGCTCTGCTTACTTGGGGTGCTTTGCTTGCTTGCGATACTTTGCTTACTTGAGGTGCTTTGCTTACTTGCAATGCTTTGCTTACTTGGGATGCTTTGCTTGCATCAGGTGCTTTGCTTACTTGAGGTGCTTTGCTTGCCTGAGATACTTTGCTTTAACGTGCTCTGCTTACTTTCGATGCTTTGCTTACTTAGGATGCTTTGCTTATACTTGCGATACTTTGCTTAATTGAGGTGCTTTGCTTACTTGCCATGCTTTGCTTACTTGGGATGCTTTGCTTGCATCAGGTGCTTTGCTTCCTTGAGATGCTTTGCTCACTCAAGGTGCTCTGCTTACTTTCAATGCTTTGCTTACTTGGGGTGCTTTGCTTATACTTGCCATACTTTGCTTGCTTGAGGTGCTTTGCTTGCTTGAGACGCTTTGCTTACTTGAGGTGCTCTGCTTACTTGAAGTGCTTTCCTTACTTGCGGTGCTTTGCTAATTGGGGTGCTTTGCTTGCTTGAGATTCTTTGCTTACTTGAGGTGCTTTGCTTACTTGAGGTGCTTTGCTTGCTTGAGGTGCTTTGCTTACTTGAGGGGCTTTGCTTACTTGAAGTGCTTTGCTTGCTTGAGGTGCTTTGCTTACTTGAGGTGCTTTGCTTGCTTGAGGTGCTTTGCTTACTTGCAATGCTTTGCTAATTGGGGTGCTTTGCTTGCTTGAGATTCTTTGCTTACTTGAGGTGCTTTGCTTACCTGCAATGCTTTGCTAATTGGGGTGCTTTGCTTGCTTGAGATTATTTGCTTACTTGAGGTGCTTTGCTTGCTTGAAATTCTTTGCTTACTTGAGGTGCTTTGCTTGCTTGAGGTGCTTTGCTTACTTGCAATGCTTTGCTAATTGGGGTGCTTTGCTTGCTTGAGATTCTTTGGTTACTTGAGGTGCTTTACTTACTTGCAATAAGTCGAGCTTGCTTCAGCTGCGAGACTCTATTAATGCAGGCGTTTCTTTTTTTGTTCTTCATCTGTTCTCGCCAAATGGTGAATCATGGTCCCAGGCGTTGGTCAGAGGTGAGTCCCGAAACGCTAGGAGTATCTAGTCTCTTCATCAACTGGACATAGCTCTTCTGGGAATCCAGAAGATGAAGCATGTATTTTTGCAACTGGCTGCTTTTCAGTGACAGAAACATCCTTTCAGTATATCAACTATCCATAGAAAGCTAATCCATGTCGAAGGGCGACGAAGTCGGAAGCGGCCGGCCAGACAGTCATTTTAGTTAAAAACGAAATAATTAAGCATTTTTTTTATTTTTCGAGAGTCCCAAATATACCTTTTTCTAATCGTTTGAAAGTATTCTATCTTCATTTAGAATAACCAAGCAATCAGGAAAACAGGAATGGCAGTAATGGCTTCGCAGATGAGCGGTTGTGGTTTCTTGAGCATAGAGTAGAGTCGACGCTGTTTCGACACTTAGAAAACCCGTTTTCAGACCAGACCAGACCAGACCAAATCCATACCCGTTTTCAGACCTGATCTTTAGGCAGAAATTATGTCATCATCTCTTAAATTAGAGCGCAAACAAAAGAAATTCTTCAAATCCATTTCGAATTCGCGTATTTCTCTTTCTTTCTTACTGATTTTCAGAGAACGTATAGCACTTAAAGAACCCAGATCTAACACAGAAATAGTAATCAAAAAGGCAGACAAGGGCACCACAACGGTCATAATGAGCAAAAATGATAACATACTAGAAGGCCAAGTTCAGCTTGATGACAGGCAAAACTACACGGCCCTCGAAGCATAAAACTTATTAAGCCAAAATACATGTTCCCAAAAAAAGCTAGTCTACTGAGACTGCCCCACTCACCTGAGTTTTCTATGAAAGCTTTCTTACAAATCAAGTACTTTTCTTCTTCTATAGTTGTCTTCAACCTGACATTGTCCATCCCGAGCTTTCTCTTGATTTCATCAGTCACCAGGAACCTTTCAACGATGTCATTAAGGTAACCAGAACAGTAACCATTCCACAGACTTTCAAGACTCTCCAGAGTGAGGCACTGTACAGTTATTATCAAAGACCCTGGTTTTACCATCATTACGGCCACTTCAAAAGCCTTTTTGAGAAACTCAGTAAGGCGGGCTACACTACTATCAACTGGCAATGACGAAATATCTTGGAGTCTTCGATACTTATGAACCGACCGTTCTAATTCCTCTTTTAATATTCTTTGTTGTGCAACAGTTAAATCTTGGGTATTCAAAGAAATTAGAACTTCGATCAAGGCAGTAATAACAACAGAGTCTGAAAATCAATAAGAGGAAAGTTACACGTTGTTAAAACTATAGCAAAACATTCAGTATGCACAATAACTTAACACTTATATATTTACTTATTTATTTACCTACTTGCACAAATTTACGTTTTAATATAATTTTTACTGTTACGTGACAGGTCCTTTCCTCAGGGAAGATGCACCTTCACGACTAGCTATCTTGGAGGACATATGCTTCTTTAAAAAAGATTCCGCTCTCCTCACTTAAAATACCTGAATTTAAAAGACTGCTCTCGTCAAGGTACTCATCATTATTGAATGTCTACTCAGGCGCCTCACCTATAGCCAAAGAGGTTTAAAAACCTCATTCACAAAGACCCCCAACAAGGCAACTTGGTTAGGACGTTATCACAGATTCACAATACATATGTATTAGCTGCATACTTGAATTTCAATAGAATATTAACGTTCATAGCAATTCGATGAAAGATACAATTTGGAAAATTACAAAACCTGTTCGTACATATTGTTGAAAATATTTGTCACTAAGATATTTTAAATTGGATAATGGAGACAGGACTTAAACCACATTAGCAGATCGCTCTTTTGCTGTTGCTGCTCCCAAACTTTGGCATTTGTTTTTTTTTTCGCGATATGGAGAAGCCCCTCAGTTGTCATTTTTAAGAAGGCACTCAAGACATTTCATTCCAGAAAGCCCTTACAATGTATGTAATAAGATGCAATTTCATTACTCGTTTTTAGTAGGTTTTATTCAGTTTCAGTTAAAGTAACCAAAGTAATTTTTATAATTTTAGTGTTTGATATATTTTAATTTTTTGTATATTTATAAATTTATTTATTGATCATTTATTCAAAATCTTTTTTTATAACCGCTGAAGAAAATGGCGACTATCAAGCGACTACTGATCGATCGGCACTATAAGTTTTACTATCATCGGAGATAATACACTTCTATATTACGAGCGTAAACGGTAACAAGTCCTGTAGGAAAAAGTACCTTTGAATAATCTAACAATCACTTATCCCCTTTAGATATAGTAGTGTACTGATGAGCAATAGCAAGAAAGACAACTCATGCTTTTGCATACCTGGATTACAAGAGAATCCTGACATTTTAAGCTCACGCCTACTTTGAGACTGAGAGCCTGTATCCGTGGATATCTTAGTTTGATATCCTGATGCAGCATCAGCTTTTATTTCACAGTCACTACTAAGGGACGTTTCTGAAACAAGCTGTTTGCCGTCGTAAGAGTTTGTTCTTTGGTTGTTGTAAATTGCAATAGAAGGCTCTGAAAAAAAAGAGTTTTAGTTACAATAATTATCTCTTTGAAACTTAAGGTTCAGTCAATTTCACGTGTGACCATTCCTCCCCGGGGCGGACATTTGTTGGGCATGTATCAGGTTGTATATTCCTGGGATAGCAGCTCAGCGGCCGGCGTTTTATTTCTCTCCCCGTCCCTATTTTTTCTACCTCTCGTGCGCCTCCTGCGCTTCTCTCACTTGGTTAAGAATGTAAATGATTTCTAGGCATGATGTCTACGAAGATACCTTCATGGTCCTCAGTCATGCCTTCCATCCTCTGACAAACGTTGCACTCTGTTTCCACGGAGCTCCGGGCCTTTAGAGAATCTTCTGTTGCAACAAAATGGAGAAAACAAGCTGTTGCGGGGATTATGTGTATATAACTATAATCAAATATGTGAAGAGCTGTAAATGAGTACTATGACTGTCTATGACAGTCTCAAAATAGCCTTTTCCGCTGAAAACAATGTACCTGAAGAAATAGAAACGTTTTGCTGTTAACAAAGCATAACGTTCAGATAGGTATTCGCGAATATTTTTATCAAGACTTAAGGGCAATACTTGCAAGCGATCCCATTTTTGTTTCTTTTCACTTTTTAGTGGAGCTTGCTTCAGCTGCGAGACTCCAAAAATGCAGGCGTTTCTTTTTTAGTTGTTCATCTGTTCTCGCCAGATGGTGAATCATGGTCCCAGGCGCCGTGGTCAGAAGTGAGCCCCGAAACGCTAGGAGTATCTAGTCTCTTCATCAACTTGACATAGCTCTTCTGAGAATCCAGAGGGTGAAGCATGTATTTTTGCAACAGGCTGCTTTTCAGTGACAGAAACATCCTTTCAGTATATCAGAAGCATCTGGTTTGAGAACAAGCCTTTAATTATAAGCTTCTTACAAAATGATGTTTAAGAGGCTGTCTCAGTAAAAACCGCCCACTCAATTTCGCGTGAAAAATTATTTTGCCTGAAACTCTGGCGAGTGAAAGGCTTTATCGAGACTATAACTAAAATAGGTTTGCTTTGATTCACAATAATATTCTGGCTGCGCTGGGGGGCGCCGAGTATTTTGTCCCGCCAAGGCCATTTTGCACCTCTTGAAAACTGAAAATTTGGCATTTTTAGCGGCGCTGTAAAAAGTTTGATTTGCACCATCTACCAATGAATTTTATACCTATTTATAGGTAAACATCTCTAGTTTTTCCTGAAAGTAACAGTTATGCGCTAAATTTAGCTGGAAAGACGAAATCGAGCAAAATATGACCCCAACTAATTGCCTTGTAACGAAAGGCCAAAAATTACACTGTTTTAAAAGCTTATTTCTGAGTTTTGGGACATAGTTGAAAGCTCTAGACTAAGATAGACCATCTGTTATTAATAATATAAAAAACTCCATGTACGATTTCAGTATTTTAAAAGTTATAAGCGTTTGTATCAACGCGTATGCGAGCTAACATGATATTTTCAGATTTTGAGTAACGGATCTACCTCAAGCAGATTTTGTCAAAAGTACGGCTTACCTAATTCATTACTGGCACTGACTCACAAATTGAGCCATATTCCAATCCCTGAGATGCCGGACCCCATAAAATTCCAGTAAATGTGCTTTAGAAACTGCTGGTATGCGGCCATTTTTGAATCCCATGCTAACAATCCGAAGCTCAAAACAGGTGTCACGTTTCGAGCTAAATAGCTCGGTAAAACAACCGTTCAGAGGTGAAAGTTTGCTCGAGAATCAGAAAATCAACTAGGCAGGTCTCATTTTGGATCAGAAAACTGAGATTTCAGAGCTACAACCTCGAATAAATCTTCTATTCAACCGCCTCTGCAAGGTCAAATGCAGGTTGACATGTAAACCGGAAACGTCGAAACCCGGAAATAGGGAAAACCGGAAATGTGGAAATCCGGATCATCCGGAAATCGGCAAATCTGAAATCAATCAGAAGCCGAAGGCAATTCCAACAATTAGAGACAGCTGCATTCGTTTAGGGCTTCTTTTCGAAGTTGAGACACGTAAAAGATAAAACCCTCCAAACCAGCGTAGCTGTTTGATTTTCACTGAAGTGAAAAGCAGTTCCACGATCGATTGTGTTTGGCAGATAGGCTCCATTAGAAACAGTAAATATCATTAGCCGGTTACAAACATTCTATGTGCGCTAACATATCACACTGGTGACTAATACTTTACAGAAGTTGGCTATATATCGAAACTGAATGTTTCGAGATCTAAGAAACCGAGCCAGCTCGGTTGTCTGGGCTTATTAGTATAGAGGGTCCTTGAAAGTCGCTTGTTAAGGGGGCATTCTTTTTGTTTTTTACGGGGAAAATGATGGTGATTTGGGAAAGAAATAAATAAGAGTAGAAAAGGTATGCACATAAAGCCTTGTTGGAGTCTCTGGTATCTTCTGATTATTCACTTCATATTTTAATTTCTAGCAACCCCCTAATTCAATATTTTCCAACTTTTCCAACATTTTTAAAATCCTCCTTAATTATTATACATTAAAAACATTCAAAGAATCATCCAGAAATTCTCCAAAAATTATTGAACCAAGGCCTCAATCTTAATTGAGTCCTTTTTTGATTCACGGATAACTTGGATAGCGGATAACGCGAGTAGAGCAGAGGAAAGTCATTTGGGTTATAGGGTATGGTTGCAAGAAAGTGCTATTTAATCTAGACTAGCTTTAAGAAAGGATTTAATTCTGTATGCGTGTTTAGACCTTAAGACCAATATTCACACCGAATGGTAACACTAGTGGCACGTCCTGAGAGCGACCCTTTTTGTAGACCAAAAGTCCGATGAAATATGGCCAAGAAAGGCGCTAAGACACTTTGTTTTAAGATTAGCTACAAAACACAGTTAAATGGTCGAAAAAATATAATAATCCTACATTTGTCGATAAATTTCGGTTTTCTGACCCAAAACGAGATCTACTTAGCTGATGTTTTGATTCTCGGACAAGTCTCTCCTTCGGACATTTGCTTTATTTTCTTTCTTACCCAGCTATTTATCTCTAAACGTGACATACCGTAAAATTCCGAAAATAAGCCCCCGGGTCTTATATTTTTCAAAGGCCCTTTTTGAGGGGCTTATTTTTGGACCGGCTTATATTCGTACGAGCTTATTTATGGAG